GGATCAAATATAACAGTATCATCAAAATGGACACCATTTGCACCGTTGGCGACAGTTTAGTGATCAAAATGCCGATCTGTGAGCAAAAGTAGCGCCCGTTTCGCAACACAATTGTCCACATTTTACGGCCGGACCGTTGATTGGGTGGACCGCCGGCCGACTCGATCTTCAGCTGAACCGACGGCTGCCGGTCGTGACCACTGGTCGTCGCCGAAGAAGAGGACGTATTGTTGGCCATCAATGGCGCCGAAGAGGTCGCTGTCAATGGCGACGAGGAAGGCATGACTGGATCTGCTGGCGGTGACAATGAGGGGGCGGCTGACACTCGCACACACTGTTCAACACGTGTTTAACACACCATTCAATACACAATTCGTGAATACATTCATTAAACACATGTTTCGCAGTCAATAGGTTTTGCTGTCAATTGTTTTGAGCGTTGATTTGATGTGATTTTCGGTCAATGTTTTTGTCAATCAATTTGTTGTGAGATTTATGTGTTGTTTACAAAACTATTTCGCTGGAGATCTATTCGGCCACCGATTCTCAAGACTATCGTCTAATCGCTCGACAATACGATTGCCGGCCATTCGACGCCCTGTCCCTCAAGAATGTCTGCTTTCGACTCAATTCGACATTAAGTGCGTTGAAGTCGACATCGAGTTCGTCGACAATTCAACGCCGAGACAACTGTCCGCCAGAGAAACGAGACACGACTCGACTCCAGACCGTAAAGTGTTTTAAGAATTGCTTTCAATTGAATGCCATTAAAATCAAAATCTTAAGAACAGCCAACTCTTCGGTTCCTTGTATTAGGTATTGAATCAATTGAGTCTTACATTGAACGATGTCTTGAGTTTAATGTCTATTGTTTTGAATAGTTATCTAAACATCTGGTGTCAACCAATAGGACAAACAGATCCGCAGATCTTAAGACAAATTGTTGACATTATATCGAAACAAAACGCGAAGAACTCTTCAAAAAGATTCAATTTTTACAATTCTGGCGAAGAATCAAATGACGAGACTATAAATGAAAGTCACTTGAATTCAAAGCGAAAGTTTGATTCAATTGATAGCCAGAAACCGGAGGACGAGTTCCCGATTCCCGACGAATTCATCGATTCGATCACCAATGAGGTGATGATTGATCCCATTCTTCTGCCTTCGGGTCATTGTGTGGACAAAACCACTTTAGATCGGTATCTGTCCGAAGAGTCCAAATGGTGTCGCCGTCCGTCGGATCCGTTCACTCAAATGCACTTCACTGCTGAACGGCAGCCGAAGCCCAACGTTATTCTTAAGCAACGGATCGATGAGTTTTTGAGTCAATTGAGCGGTCAGTCGACGGCCGACGAACGTCTGGAGCCGTCAAACAAACGCCGAATCGTCGGCTATAACTGTGTTAGTAATGGAAATAAACTCATATCAAGTAAACTGTTAACCAACGGCGTGTCGACCGCCGGTGGCAGCGGTTCCCGAGCGGATCAGTTGGTAAACAAACAGGAAAAGTGTGTTGAGTGTGGTTTCAGCCATTCGGGCGACGAATCGCAGGTTTTATACAAACTTTTGTGCAATCATTTGATTTGTAGGAAACAATTGCTCACAAAATTGGACCACAAATTATCGTCAATTGTTTGCAATGAATGCAAACGCGAGACTCAGAAGCAAATGATTGTTAAATTGAATCATATTTGATGTGAATTTTGTTTTTAGGCTAATTTGTAAATGTCTTATAATTAAGCGAATAATTATTTATTATTTTACAAAATTGTTGTAATCAATGTTCACTAATTATTAAAAGTATTGTTTTAAATACACTATTCAGTGATTTATACTTAATTGAAAATATAATTAATTTAGTGATTGGTCTCTCTCTCTCTCTCTCTCCCTCCCTCCCTCTCTCTCTCTCTCTTCTAATGAAGAGTTTGTCAATCAATAGATAGGAATAATGAATGTTTCCGCAGGTATTTAGTGTCTCTCCTTTGAGTGTATTGTAAGTTCATTGGAAATTATCTCACGTTTCATACATTCAATCAAACACTCATTTATGATATTTATTACTCGAGTTGTTTGTATTTTTCATTATCTATAAAATAGTTAAAAATACAATTGAATTTGTAGTCTTTAAGACTACAATAATAGCACAGTTTGTATGGAATTGTTGTGGAAATGTTAGGAATGAACGCTTACACCGGTCTCACAGTACAGACAATACTCGTTAGATTTGTTTTAGAAATTTTTAAAACTATTTATTTCAAGTCATTTACTCTTGTGTTTCATTCAAACCAAAGCATTGTTTTGGACATCAGTTTTGATTTGACATCAAATTGAAAACTAATTTAAAACTAATTTGAATCAAACGTTTTGTACAATCATTTCATCACATCTTAAGATATGTCAGAAAACATTACATCTATGAAGACATCGCTCGACACCGCAGAAGACGCCAAACGAGATGACACGCAAAAGGTATGCCTTATATATTATACTTGATATAAAATTAATTATTTATTGAGTTTTAATCATGTTTTGTCTCACATTTAGCCCAAACGATATGCGAGAGACAGTTTAGATCGTTTCGGTGACGACTTATTTGTGCTTTTGTTGACATACCTCTCATTTGAAGACCGGTTCCGTTTGGAAGGGGTGTCCAAACAGTTCCAGCGGACAGTTTTCGAGTCCGTTGTGGACATCACTCTCAACAATAGACTCATGAGAATTATGAGAACTACTCTCAAGTCTCAAATGTTAGCCACTATTGCCATGAAGTGTCCAAACGTAGTGCGCCTCGACTTTCGACAACTGTATTGTCATTTGGATTCAATTCACGAACTGATCATCACTTTTGGAGTCCGATTGGAAGACATTTACTGTAAACGTTGGGCTGAATATAGCGGCGAATGGATGGCTATGAATGTGAATGAATTGCAATACACTTATGGATCACTTGTTAGACGACTCAATGTTTGCGATTCAACCCTTTCTGCCAAACAATCACTCAATCATTGCAACCATTTGTCGGAATTAAGAGTTAATAGATTACGCGATGTTTTTGACACCACTTCCGGACAGTTATTAGCGAAGAATTTACACACATTTGATATCAGATCCGATGTTAACAGTAATCAACAATTGTTGTCGACATTCATCGCTGGCAACCAATCCCTCAAAAGTCTGGCAATTAATGCAAGATTTGGTTTAAACGAAATGTGTGTCCAATTGTCGCGTTTAACGCAATTACGGGAACTGAAACTTGAATTAAATGGAGTGAACGGTTTGCCTGAGTTTTTGCGTACAATTGGCATAAACTGCAAACAATTGCAACGATTTTCACTCTCTATGAATGTTTTCCATCACTTTCTCAATGACAAGACATTGGATCCGTTGAAAACTTACCACAAATTAAAACGATTGCATTTAACACGGTTTGGGCACTGCAGCCAAGGGTGCGATAAAATACTGCAACCGTTGATATTCTGTCAACGAATAACACACTTATCGTTAGATTTATGTCGAATATATCCCGAATTATTTAAAGGTTGTGACAAACAGTGGCCAAGACTTCAATATCTATGCATTCAAGACAACAATACTGCGATAGACACCGAGTATTTGGATAATATCTCGAGTCTACCGGCGCTCAAAACACGCGTCATTAACGGCAAGACAAGCGATGATCTCTCAGATAATGCTTTGAATGCTGTGTTGTCTTCGAGTACTAAACTCAAGACCATTGAAATCCATGGAAACGATGAGAAGAAGTTTTATTCAAAATAAAAATTTAATAAATGTTTAATTATAAACACAACTAAATTATTGTACAGAATATCTGAAACTAATGATATATTAATGAAAATAAAATTTATTGCAAAGGTTTTAGCAAATAACTAATTGTTAAAAATTTGTATATTGTATTTATTAATATTATATTTAATCCTTTTTTAGTTTATTTTATTAAATTTAATATTAAAAATTGTCTAAATATTTGTTTTAAATATGATTAATAAAATAACTGATGTTTTTACGTGAACTGATGGTTTTATAGTTTATCAATTATAATCATGGTTAAAATTGCACTAATAAATTGCATGGCAAATGTAAATTTAAATCTAATTTACACTTTCATTAGCTTAATGTAAAATATAATAATGATGGTGATTATCTGTAAATCATTACCAAATATTTAATTTTGTTGTAATGTCGAGGAATCATATATAAAGATCTATTGCTTAGCAAATGCTCTGTTAATTAACTTTTTAATTGAATTAAAAAGTTTTTAACTCATCAAATGATTTGAGACATAGAGTTAGCGCATGCGCTGTCTATACACGCAATTCGTGGCAATAGTTTTGTAAACAACACATAAATCTCACAACAAATTGATTGACAAAAACATTGAC